CTGCTCGGCGGGGAGTCTGCTTCTCCCTCTGACCCTCCTCCCTCTCATGCTCTCTGTCTCTCATTCTCTCTCTCGCAAATAAATAAAATCTTAAAAAAAAAAAAAAATTTAAAAAAGCTATACTGAGCTCTTAAAGGGATGGGACAAGCAGAAAAGCTCAAAGGATTCTAGAGAGACTGACATAGTAGAGTTAGAGATGCCTGCTGAGATTGAGCCACAGCTAACGATGATGGCTAACTTCGGATGTCACTGTTGACAAAAAATTTCTGGAGCGGTTGCACCATGATTCTGGACCTATTGATGGCCCAATGCCTGTTTTCTCTGTGACTAAGAAAGTGTGTTGAGAAGACATGTGTTCAGATACCAAATTTAAGTGACTGGTCTTTTCCAGAATGTTGGGGGGGGGGGCGGGGGCAGGGCAGGGCCAAAGACTGGAGAGGGGAGAGGGGCGGCTGTGCCCACAGAGATGATCTATTCCAGAGGTGGGGTCTATGTGATAATTGGGCAGTACTACTCAAAGTGTGGTCCTCAGACCAGCAGGGTGGGCATTGCCTAAGAGCTTATAGACATGCAAACTCTCAGGCCCCACCTCAGACCTGTAGAATCGGAACCTGGAGGGCGTTTGTGTCCACTTTGCAGGTTTCAGACACTGCTCTAGAGCAGATGCAGTTCTTGGACAGCTCAGTCACAATCCAGAAGCAAGCACTGCCTGGATGTGAGGAGTGGTGATTCGGCAGCCGGCGCTATTCCAGAACCCTGGCCCGACCCATCCGCCTTGTCTGTCAGGCTGCCCAGGTCAGCCAGGTCCTAGGCCCACTGGCTAAGCCCTCCAGCAAGGCTTTGGGTCACAGTAATGCTGTTAGTAGGGCATTACCAGGAATGGGTCCCAGTGACCACTCCCCGCCAAGGAGCAGGAAGAATGTAGAGAGCAACACGCTCCGCCTCTGAGTGAAATGCTTGATGAGGCATTTTGTGGTGCCGCCAGGCATCTTGGCCCAGTTTTCAGATGGGTTTTGGGGTTTTTGGTCCAATTTTATTTTTCATTAAGAATTTGCAAATGGGTAACTTAGCTCCATTCTTCATAGAGATGAATTGGGGTCCCTGGACTTCTGTTCCTCATCAGTCCAGTTACTCTATGTTGTCTGCCTCCATTTCTCCACCTGTAAATATAGAGAGTGCTCCAGCTTTGTTGTCAGAAAGTTTGTGAGAAAGCCACACAGGTGCTTCAGGAGCCCTGACGCCCTCAGGAAGGTGGAACGAGCTCAGCTGTATTTCTTCTGGAAGTGCCTCCTGGGCCATGTGTGGTGTGGGGTCCTGGGGGGAGGGCCGTTGTTCTGAGCACCTGACCAGTCTGCCTTTCAGGTCCATGGTCAGGCCCAAAGGAAGGCTTCCGTTGTTTTCGTGAGGCAGCCCGCAGAGAGCAGCACATTAGAGGCTTCAGTTGGTCCGCATGGCTGAGGTCCCAGCCTAGTTCTCCTCAGAGCAGTGCGACTTACAGCTTCTTGCCGTGATTTTTCCCACCAGTGGTGGGAAATGGCACCACTGGCCATGAAGCCTATCAAGTGTACTGTTTACTCCCCACCTTGTTGGGAGAGGTGTGATTAGGTTGTATTCCACTGAAGAGACCTGGAATTTTTTAGAAGTTTGCAGTCCTAAATTCGCCATCGAAGGGCCTTCTGAACAGCAGCTGTTTTAGGCTGTGTGACAGTGACAGTTCTGTGTTCCCAAATATATGCACAATTCTGTTCCCAGATAAACTTTTGATCCCCTCCATGGTTTGGAATTTCGCCACTCTTAGATTCGTTTGTACAAGTAACTACCCAGGGGAGAGCTCAGACTTGTACGTGGTTTTTCTGGGAAGCCTCCCCACTCTCACTCTCTTCCTTGTCTTGTCCGTTTGGTTTAAAGTCTCCCAGATCTCACATTCTTTGCTTCCAAGTCGTTCACGGTTGCTGTGGTGCGTGGTTTTGGATCTTTGATGTTGGAAGGCAGAGAGAATTTTGGGGGGAGAGTGTACAGAACGAAGCCCTCTTAAAGTCCAGGGTTTTCTTTTTAAAGTTCCCAGCATCCTTAATCGGTTACTGGGTCCAGGTGGCCTAGTGATCATTGGCTGTACCCCCACCATTCTCTGTGGCAGTCTCCCACATCTGCGCAGCAGGAGGCGCTCAAGAGCCCTGTGAAGGTGAAGACCCTCTCCGCACAGGCGGAAGCTGTGATGCTGGGCGCTGGCCGGAGGACAGTGCAGGAGCCTAGGGCCTCTCCTCAGCTCCGTTGGCACCCCAGACTGTGAACCTGTTAAAAGTGGTGTCAGTTTTTTCATTGTGTCCTGGAACTCTGCTTTGTCAGCTATGTCTTGCAGATCTCAAACAGCCTTGAGATGACCTAGGAGAGCTGGCTTATCATGGTCAGGGGCCCTCATCCTGCTGGGGGGCAGGTGCCTGCTCACCTGTCTTTTGGGTGCCCATGATGATGAGGGCCTATGCCATCCCGTTCACCGGCTCCCGCTCCAGAACTCCTGCGCTCTGGGATTCCATGAACACGAGGTGAAGGAGTGAATGGAAATGCTCATTGCATGAAGGGCCTAGTAACCAGCCTAAGGGAAAAGATTCAGCCTTGAGATGATTGTAGTACAGTGGGGAAGACTACCAGTATCTTGCCCATGGAAATCATTTAGGAAAAAATAAGAAGAAGGAGGTTCTGAAGTTAAATGTATTTTGGAAAAGGTATAAGTTCAGTACAAGGCAGGGAACTGACCAGCACCTCCTCAAGACTAGCAGGGAGATCCTTGGAACTTTCCAAGGGTCTAGCCCTCTCGGCTTTGTAGGCTCTAAACATTTCACATGGCAGTGGATTGGAAGTAGATTGATTTACATTAAATTAATTCATAAGGGCTATTTTATGAATAAATCAAAAGGCTGGTTTCTAAACTAGGGGAGAAAAATATAACCTCTTTCCCAAGCAAACCTCCTGGGAAGCCGGGTGGTAAATTGGAGGTGGCCGGTTGCTTCCTTGCTATGTGTCCCCATTGTTGCCTGCACTTTCCAGTTTGTGACCCCTAGCACTTATTAAATACTTCCCCAGAAGATGGTCCATCTTGTGGGGACAGGGACCTTGTCTTTTCCCCGCTGTATCCTTGTGCACAATGTCTGGTGCAGGTCGGTGCTTGGTACATGTGCTGAGTGAGAGAGAGTGAGATGGTCAGTCCTAACGGTGTTGTCCTCAGCTCATAGCCTGAGGTGGCCTCTTCCACTACACCTGCCCCATGGATCCATTACCTCTGCCTTTAACACGTTAGAATGACGTATTTGGGCCAGGGGTCTGCAAGTCAGTAAAATCCTGAATTGAGTGCCGAGTGTGTACAGAGCCTGATGCTGGGATCAAAGCAGTATACTGAGTGGGTCCCTTTCGAAGGCCGTTTTCAAAATGTACTAAACATTGCGTTCTTACCAGTGTGAATGTGAACAAGCTCTGAACTGTGGAAACCGAATCATTCCAAGGGCCACAATTAAGTGATCGGTTTGTTCAGGTGTATCACGAGTCCAGTTTGGCCGCGAGGGCATCAGGGCTGTATCACGTGAGCGCCCCCGAGCCCTGTCCGCATGCTCCCCAGAGGAGCGGCGTCTGTCCAGGGTGCAGAGGTTGGGTCAGAGGGTGACTAGCCGGCAGCATCGTGTAGATCAGCGATTCAGGCTACAGACGCTTGTAGGACTCTGTAAGCGCTGAGGAACCAAGTCGGCAGCAGTGGTTAACTGGCCCATGTTGCTGAAAGCCGAGGCTGGCCGGGCCGAGATGGAGCCTGGCGCCTCGATGCCATCATCTGGTTCAGCAGTGGGCCCAGTACATTGTTGTTGCTGTTGACACAAAAGCAGCCTTGTTGCAGCTCCTTCTAAATCCATCCAGGTTGATGGGCCTGGGCCAGGACCATGACGGTCCTTTTTATACCAGCCGGGAGGCAGGAAGCCAAATTAGTCAAGACAAATGTTTGCCATTTAGTAACCAAAGGGAGATTTAAAAGAATTTCCAAAAAACCAACCACCTTGGATCTTAGTGATTGTTCTGAGGCTTTGCTACTGAGTTGGCTCTCAGCTGGGGACTCAGGGTAGCTGGAGAGATGGTCTGCAGTTGCCAAGCACAGGGTGTTCTTCAGACGGAGGGCTCCTAGGGACAGGAGGAATTTGCTGTGGTCGATGTTTGAGCTGAGCCCCTTCCCTCCCTTTTCCCCACCCCCTCCCCACCCCCGCGCCAAGACAGAGGGTGAGGCTCACAGCTATGCTCTTCTTCTAGGAGAAGTGGTGAACACCCATGGGCCTGTGGAGCCTGACAAAGACAACATCTGCCAGGAGCCCTACACCCTGCCACAGGGCTTCACCTGGGATGCCTTGGACCTGGGGGACCGTGGTGTGGTGAGTAGGCCTGGGCAGGCCGCAGTGTGGTTTGGGGGCCACTTTCAGTGAGCCCTGCCATCATATGGAGACAGATGCTACCCAGGCCTTCCTTAAGGACTCTCTTGAGAGCTGATCCAAGCAGGTTGGAGCAGACACACACACACATACACACATACCCCACCTTGGCCCCCTGTCTGTTGCCTCTGAGGCCTGCCCAAGACGCACATTTCTTTTTTTTTTTTTTAAGATTTTATTTTTTGGGGCACCTGGGTGGCTCAGTCGTTGAGCGTCTGCCTTCAGCTCAGGTCATGATCGAGCCCCGCATCGGGCTCCCTGCTCGGCGGGAAGCCTGCTTCTCCCTTTCCCACTCCCCCTGCTTGTGTTCCCTCTCTCGCTGTCTCTCTCTCTGTCAAATAAATAAATAAAATCTTAAAAAAAAGATTTTATTTTTTAAGTAATCTCTACGCCCAATGTGGGGCTCAAACTTACCAACCCAAGATCAAGAGTCACATGCTCCACCAACCGAGCCAGCCAGGCGCCCCTCAAGATGCCGCATTAAATAGCACCTGACTTCTCAGGCAGATTGAGAGTTAAGCTCTGTAGCTCCCCCAGGCGATACCTTTCTGCCGTGCATTTGTTTGTCTTGTTCATCTATTCATTTGTTCCCTGTCTTAACGATGGAGCGGCTGGTTAGGTGGATGACATTCTTGCTCTGCCACCGTATGTCTTGAAGTCTGCCGCTCTACCTCTCGGTGGCTCGGTTTCCTCGTACAGCTAGGGTGCTTGTTCCAGAAGAGTCCCTGCCATGCCTGGAGCGAAAAGGATTTATGAGATGAAACATGGTTTTTCATAGTTTGCCTTGTCCTTCTGGAAAGCTTAGAGCCCCAGGGAGGTGGGGTTGCCTCTCCCCACCCACCCCCGCCCCGCCCATGGCAGGGTGGCTCTGAAGCAGCTGCTTGTGTCTCTGCAGCTGAAAGAGCTCTACGGCCTCCTGAATGAGAATTATGTGGAGGATGACGACAATATGTTCCGATTCGACTACTCCCCGGACTTCCTGCTGTGGTGAGCCATGAGGCCTTCCTGGCGACTCGGGTGGGGCGCGCGGTGGGCCCACTTTCTCATCCCTGCTAAGAACCAGCCTTCGAATGGCAAATTAGGGTGTCCATTTTGAGTTCCCACATCTGAAGGAAAGTTGTTTCCAGTGGAGCTAAGAATCGAAACCTTATTTAAGGTGGAATGACTGGGTGAGAGAGGCCTTGGTGGCATCAGAGTCCATCACACGAAGAAGAGATCGTGTGTTATATGGTGACCTGGTGTAGGAAGGGAAGGAGGGATGAGATTTCAAAAGAAAAAAGAGTCATTTTCTATCCAGTTCCTGAATGTGCTTAGTTATCTGAAAATGGCCCTGCTTGGCTGAGGCCTCCAGCCTCCTGGCACGTGTTGAGTATCCGGGGATGTAGAGGCATGAGGCTGAACTGGAGAGGGACTGCCTGAAAGGGAAGACTTGGGCAGGCATATAGAGGGGGTGATGGTGCCCAGAGGGTGGGTGGAAACCAGAGCTCCGGGGGCTCCATAATCGATTGACAACCATGGGACCCCTTGGACGCGGAGCCGGTCATCTGGCTTAAGCTAGAAAGTGAGCAGGCACAAAGAAGTTCGATCGGTTGCAAAGTCCTCAGTATGACAGCCTTGAATTGGGTGGGTGCGTAGGCCAGGTGGGCTGAGCAGCAGGAAGGGGCTCTGGCTCGACCCCATGTGTGTCCGGGAGGGCTTAGCCCTAAAGAGAATTAGCTCTTAACCTCCAGGGAGGTGGAGCAGGAGGTGAGAACAGACTCGGGTATGGTGCGCAAGCCATCTGCCCAGCGCACTGGTCAGTGGTTACTGTCTCTCTTCTAGGGCTCTCCGGCCACCTGGCTGGCTCCCCCAGTGGCACTGCGGGGTTCGAGTGGTGTCGAGTCGGAAGCTGGTTGGGTTCATCAGTGCCATCCCGGCAAACATCCACATCTATGATACGTAAGCACCGGCATCACTCCCCACATCGCTGCCCTCCTCCCTGGTCTGGGAGCAGGGGAGAAAAGATGCACATACCTTCACGAAAGAAAAGGTGAAGGGAAGGAGCTCAGGTCCTGGGAATAGAAATTCATGGCAGGAACCGTCTCCTTTGCTCAGAGTTGCTGCTGGTTCTCTTGTTCGCAATCTGGGCTGGATGGGGCCCACCGTGAGGGCCAGGATACCTGCACAGGGGCCCCGTGTTGGCACTTAGAACACCTGTCACACGGTTGTGCACTTGAGCAGCTTCATAAGTGGGCCCGAGCCAGTGTGACTCAACGTCCGAACAGTCGTGGGGCCTCTGAGCTCTGCTCTTCATTTTCCCTGGAAACATCAGAACCAGCCGCCACAGTCTTCTGGGCTTACAGGCCTGGGATTCTTGTGGGAGTCAGAACCCTTGAAATTCCAGGATAGCCCTTGACTTAGTCTGAGGTACCCTGCCAGCTACAGGTGGGACTCCCCCATCCTGCTGGTGGGGGTTCACCAGGCAGATCCTGGTGATGCGGCCAAATAAAGGAGTTGGCTTGAGTCTCACCTACTTTTGAACGTGGGGTCTGGCTGAAAGGAGTGGGTTCCTTGCCTGGGGCAGCGGGCCCGGGGGGACCCCAAGTACCAGCTGCTGGGTGCCGGCGGCGGCAGAACGCAAGCCTCAGCTGAAGGGCCCCCTCCCTATGCGGTGGCGCCTGCGTCTTGAAGGGATTACCTTCCCCGTTAAAAGCTGGGTACTGGGGGTTTTTCCTTTCTCTCCAGAGAGAAGAAGATGGTGGAGATCAACTTCCTGTGTGTCCACAAGAAGCTGCGCTCCAAGAGGGTGGCTCCGGTCTTGATCCGGGAGATAACCCGGCGAGTTCACCTGGAGGGCATTTTCCAAGCTGTTTACACTGCCGGGGTGGTTTTACCAAAGCCTGTTGGCACCTGCAGGTAGAGATCTCTTGCGAGGCCCTCAAAGTCCTGGTGTGCTCGCTCTCGCTAAGGAGCTCATGTGCTGAGTCACAGCTCTGGCCCTCAGTCGGTGCATGCCCGAGAGCGTCCTGCTTCTCTCCTGCCTGACGAGATGGCTGGTGGCTGCCCACGGGAGCCGGGACGGGGGGAGCACGGAAGAGTGAAGGGGGAATTTGTAGGAACAGACTGGAGAGTGGGTGCCCTGTCCAGAGGGGTCAGCCGTCCTCCGCTCCCACTGATTCCTGCCTTTTGGAAATAGGTCATTCCACTGGGGTTTTGTGGTAGTTTTTAAGGACCAGCCCAAATCTGGGTTTTGATGGTAAATGTCCAAGAGTTTTAAGGGGTTGGCTCAATTTTATTTTGAATATTCTGTGGGCCAAAGAGAACATGTTTGATCCCTGGGTGACGGGACCGCCTCTGCCTCAGAAAGCTGTTTGAAGGAATTGAACAGTCTCTGCCTCAAGAACATCAGAAGTGAAACACCAGGCAAATGCAGTAGAGGAGGGAGGAGGAGGGTACACATTCTGAGAACTTCAAGTCTTTTCATGGACTTGGCTTTTAGAATTTGGGGAAGAAAAATAGAAAGAAAATTCGGAAAGAGCTGTGGCAGCCCTGCATTTACTGGGGGGCCGTTGGAGAGCCCACCACCGGGCACTGGCGCTCATGGGGCCTGGCGGGTCTCTCCCGCCACCTGCTGGCCATCTGGAGAGTTCCATGCCTTCGCTCTCCACGGGACTTGCCAGAATCCTCTGAGGACAGGACATCTGTGTCCCCCACAGGTACTGGCATCGGTCCCTAAACCCACGGAAGCTAATTGAAGTGAAGTTCTCCCACCTGAGCAGAAATATGACCATGCAGCGTACCATGAAGCTCTACCGACTGCCAGAGGCCAGTGGTGCTGCGGGCGCGATGGGCGGGGGCGGGAGAGGCTGAGAGCTGGGCCCTCGGCAGGAACGCCTCAAGGCTTGGGCAGGGCGGGGGTCCGAAAAGTGACCCAACTCAGAGTTTCCTAATTCCTCGACTTTCTGTCTCTGTTGTCTCTGCTGTCTATAGCAAGGATTTTATTTTAGTTTGACTTTCTCAGTTCTCTTGCATCTGCACCTGGGCTAGCTTCCGTGTCATCTGTTGATGAGCTCAGAGAACACCTATTCTTTGTGACTGTAGCCCAAGCGAGGCACAAATAGATAAACCTGCTCACTGAGCTGCAACACTGCCCAGAGCCCGTGTAAATAAGCTACAGAGCGTCTGCCAGGCCTCGGTTGGGGAAAGGAGGGGTGACTCCAGCCTGTGAGGGGCGCCCAGATTTCTTCCTTTTTTTTTTTTTTAAGATTTTATTTATTTGACACAGACACAGCGAGAGAGGGAACACAAGCAGGGGGAGTGGGAGAGGGAGAAGCAGGCTTCCCGCTGAACAGGGAGCCTGATGCGGGGCTCGATCCCAGGACCCTGGGATCATGACCTGAGCCGAAGGCAGACGCTTAACGACTGAGCCACCCAGGTGCCTCGGGGTGCCCAGATTTCTAATCCCAGTCCCCCGATCCAGATTTGTCTGTTGAAGGAGTAGGCAGCCTGGAGTCAGCTGGTTTTCTGTTCTGGGTCTCAGTTTACCTAATTTTCCAATGAAAGAAATGCTTCTCCTCATTCTCCCGTTGCGCCTGGTTTCAGGATCCTAATGACCTGAAAGTCGCTTGTCCTCCCGCAGAGCTTCCAGGGTCAGCACGGTTACTGGTGCCCGCTGATCAGGGGGGCTGCCCGCTTGCCTTCGTCAGCCACCAGACTGGCTTAATCACCCTGGGATCGGGCTGGTCCAGCACTGGGTCCGGGTCAGCCGTGTCCTGTTTTGAGAGACTGTGACAGTTGGATACTGCCCCAAAAAACAGATTTGGGGGGGGGCTGTGATGGTGTCTCCTCTTCCTGTTGTGAAAACAGATTTGTCCTGAGTTCTAGACAGGCAGCATTCTTAAAGCGGTGTTGTAGCCCAGAAGAATGTCTCTGGATCTCCCCGCCTGTGGGTGAGAGCCCCTTTCAGTGCAGAATTCGAGGTGTCCTTGTGGGAGCTGCTGCCATGTAGAAATGAGGTCAGTAAGTGTTCCCCGGAGACATCAGGCTTACTGAGGAATTTGGGTGGCTGAGGTCCTGGAACAGCTCTTTTAAAAGCAGTTTCTACACAGGGAAGCAGTTGAATCACGCAGCAACTGAGGTACATAAACTGTAACGCCACGCTGCTTTCAGATTTGGCTGACCCCACCTTTGTGTCTTGAACCTTTGGGGATGTTCTGTCAGCCCCAGGATTTACTCCAGAGCATGAGATGGGTTCATTCCACTGAAGCCTTTCTTAAGAAAAAGCAGCTGTGGGGTGGGATCCTGGTTTAAGATGCAGTCCCAGGAGTTTGGTGCTTTTCTTCAGAATTTAACTTGCAGCAGGCCTGGCTGGAGGCAGACTGCTGCGGCAGAGTCTGAGCACGCAGGCAGAGCGGGCTTCGGGTGTAGACTCTGCTGGGCCTGGGGGTTCCAACATGCCTAAGCAAGGAGCTGGTCTGTGAAGGGCTCTCCTAGTCTAGAGGAGAGAGACCAGCATAGGAGATCAGCCACAGCTCGGTGGGACAAGGTGGCGAGGGTTCGGAGGAGAGGAGCCAAGAAGGGCTTCGCCAGGTCGACGAGTAGCCCGGGCCTGGGCCCACGCCGGCACGTCCACGAGGGTTTTGCTCCCTCATGGCACCGTTAACATTTGGGGCTGGGTAATTCTGTCGTGGGGACTGTCTTGTTCATTATAAGATGTTTGGTAGTTTCCTTGGCTTCTACCCGCTAGATGTCGATAGCACCCTTTCTAGTTGTGACAACCGAAAATGTCTCAGAGTATTGTCTTATACTCAGAATCACCCCCGTTGGGACCTGCTGGGCTAGAGGGACATAAAGGACAGTCAGAACTGTCTGCCAACTGGTCCAGAGGGTGGAAGGTCTTCTGCTCCCTGTTAGGGAGTTTAGAGCAAGGGAGGGGCGTGCTGGGTTGTGTTTTCTTAGGAAGGTGGCCTGGGCCATGTGGATAAGAGATCGAAGCAATAGCCTCAGCCAGAGAGGGTGGCCTTCACTAGGGGGGAGAGGGCCAAAGATACTGACGAGGCAGGACTCGCGCCTGAGCGCGTGGGGGCCGTGAGTGAGAGGCCGCTGGCAAGGGTGACTGAGGATTCTCTCTTGATGGCCTGGGTGGATGCCTCCAGGGTTGGGGTAGGAAGGGAGACCGTGTCAAGTTTCCGGTGCCCTCAGGGCTTGAGAGGGAGCCAAGAGGCTCATGTTCGGCACACCTGACACCGTCTCGTCTGTCTGCCTTCCAGACGCCCAAGACAGCTGGGCTGCGACCAATGGGAAAAAAGGACATTCCAGTAGTGCACGAGCTTCTCACCAGGTACCTGAAGCAGTTTCACCTCACGCCAGTCATGAGCCAGGAGGAGGTGGAGCACTGGTTCTACCCCCAGGAGAATATCATCGACACTTTCGTGGTGGAGGTGAGTGCGGAGGGGTGTCCTGGGCCCCTGAGAGGCATTCTCCTTCAGTGGCTAGGTTCCCCAGGCTCGGGGACTGAAGACCCGACTGCTGGCAGTGTTGGCCCCCTCCAGGGGGGGCCTTCCTTGACCCTCCTTGCTTGATCCTCCCTGAAGACAGGAAGCTGTAGCTTGTCCTTGCTAACAGGATGCCCTCTGGACTTGGCGTGAGCCCTTCTTGCCTCTGCCCCCTCCCGCAGTCCCCGGGGCGGGGGGCCGGAGTAGAGAGGACTAGGCCCCTCTTCCTCGGGTAGGCCTCTGAGCCCCGGCTGCCGTGCTTGTGGTGGTGCTGGCCAGGCGTCTGCGACAGTCTGCGGGCGTGTGAGCCGCGAGGAGCCCCTGACGAGGCGCAGGGAGGGCGCTCGGCACGGTCAGCCGCAGTCCGGCCTGGATTCTCCTCCTGGCTCTGTCCTCAAGTGCCCTGGGCCAGTGCGTTCTCTCCTGCCTGCACCCCCTGTTTCTGTGTGTACCCAGTCATCTCGGGGGGGCAGAGCTGCTGAGGGCGGTGTGGGAGCAGCAGGAAACATGCCGCTCCCGGGCTGCAGGGTCCCCGCGCGTGCGCGACATTGCCTCCTAGTGTTGTTTTCCCTGCAGAATGCAAATGGTGAGGTGACAGACTTCCTGAGCTTTTACACGCTTCCCTCCACCATCATGAACCATCCGACCCACAAGAGTCTAAAGGCTGCTTATTCTTTCTACAACGTCCACACCCAGACCCCTCTTCTAGACCTCATGAGCGACGCCCTTGTTCTCGCCAAAATGGTGAGGAGCAGACCGGAGGGCCCGGAGATGCGTGGGGACGGGGCAGTGGGAGCGGTGGGGAGCACAGCTGCCTGTGCGCCGAGGCTTCCGGCCCTCCTCGGCCTCCCGCTCCGCGTAGGAAGGGGCCCAGCACGTCTCAGCCAGCAGCCTAAAACTAGGAGGGAGCAGGGAGCATCCACGTGAAGGGAAGGCACTGAACTCCTGGTTTATTTCAGTGAGTTTCGTTCTCACGGGCGGCGCTGCCAAGGAGCCTGAATAGCCAGGCCTGCTCCGGGAGTAAAGGGGTTCTCCTTACGACTTCCCCAGCGTGGGAATGGGGAGATTGGTCTCTGTCGTGGTGAGTCATTGGAGCGGCTGACTGTAGGGCATGGGGGGTGGGGCCCAGGCCTCTTTGACCCCCGAAGAGGTCAGCGTCGGTCAGCCCTTCGTCGTGGGTCCTGCCCGAACTGAGACGAGGCCGCGTGGGCCGGCCGGATGGTGGCCAGGTCAGCGTGTGCCCTGCAAGGCCTTCTGGTCAACTGGGTGAGATTTAGGAAGTGTCTGTCGTGGTCTAAGAGCAGCGTATCCGCTGCCGTAAAGGCGCAGGGTCCACAGCAGAGGCCTAGTAGCCGGAGTGTCGGGGAGTGAAGGGACAGCTCAGCTGCTGAGCCGCCGATAGGAGCCAGCTTCTCAGAGGAAGTGCTTCGGGGCTTGGTCTCCAGAGAAGACCGTGCCAGTGACCGGTGTTTTGGGGAGCCTAACATGGAACCATAGGAGCAGCGACCTGGACACTGAGGACACAAGGATGCACTTGGGCCACGAGGGGCCAGGTGGGGTGGCGTTCCGAGAGTCATGAGAACCACCCCTGGAGAGCAGGTGCTGGCTGGAGTCTGCATCTAACGAGGACGCAGCCGGGGCTTCCGAAGGGAGAGTGTTCTCCCGGCTGCCTGCGCCATGGGCTGCGATGTGATAGAAACGGGCAGGAAGGCGAGGCAGCTTTTCTCTCTCTTCACCTGTTCCTGTCTCTCCCCGCTGCCCTGTAGAAAGGGTTCGACGTGTTCAATGCACTGGATCTCATGGAGAACAAAACCTTCCTGGAGAAGCTCAAGTTTGGCATAGGGGACGGCAACCTGCAGTATTACCTTTACAATTGGAAATGCCCCAGCATGGGAGCAGAGAAGGTATGTCCGTGCCCAGTGCAGCTGGGGTCGGGGGGTTCGTGTTGCCGGCAGAGATGGGGCCACGGGTCTGAGCCCCAGCAGTGGCAGGGTCCGCATTCCCCTTCAGCAGCTGGTGTGAGGGTGGCAGAGGGAACAGGCCCCAGAGCCACCCAAAAGCAGGAAGCTTGTCTCCAGCTTTTTTCCCCACGAGGTGAGCCACCTCAGCAGGGCACTGGGGACCACCTCAGGGAACTGCAAGTCCAGCTGCCCGCGCTTGGCCAGGAAGGTTCTAGTCTAAGGATCTGAGGGGTTTCCTCTGCTGGGCTCCTGCCCTCATCCCAGCGTGATCCTCAGCCCTTCCTCTCTCAGCTCCAGAGGGCAGCTCCAGGCTGTGGTATCATCAGAATTTACAAAATAAGTGACAGACGAGCTGGAGAGAGGCCTTGGGACTAGCGATGCTCAGGTTGCTGGCGGTTGCTTTCTTGAAGGATCTGATGGATGTAGGAAGACCCTTGTAGAGGTTGAGTGAGCCCACTCCCACAGCCCAGTGGCCCTGTGCGGACTCAGTCCTGTGGGACTTCTGAAGTGGGGGAGGTGGAGGGAGAGGGGAGGGGGACAGACTCGGGACAACTGTCAGCTCAACTCTGCCTCTCCCCGTTGGCTCTCTTAGGTTGGGCTGGTGTTACAGTAATCAGTTGCCAGTGAGATTCTGGATAAAGCCACTGAGAAGTCAAACCAGGAAATGGAACCCCACCACTTGTTGGTCCAATTTTCACAAACGTGAGAATCCCTGGCAAAGGGAACAGAACTGAACCGGCTTTACCAAACCGCCACTGAACTTGACAATTGTATCGCAATGGCGTAGGCTGCGTGATGTCACCTCCGGCCGTGTCTCTGGTCTCCCTGTTTTCCAATTAATCACATCCTTCTGCAGCCGTGATCAAGGGAATGTAACTGCTGAAAACTAGCTCGTGATTGGCATATTATGGAGTTAACGGGTGAATAATAAAAGTATATATATATATATTATATATATATAAATATTTTAAATATCTTTCATGTTCCAAATGTACAAGGATGTTCGGTCTCTAATGAAAAACTGAATCTAGGTCATTCCTCAGAATTAGAATCCAGGGACTGTGGCAGACAAACACATACTGGTACAGTGAATTGTTTTGTTCTGAAAGCAGGCATTGACTTTTCTTGGGGGAGTAGGAGAAAGAGGATGTGGGGGATCTTCTCCATCCCCCTTCTGGATGGGCTGAAATGATTAGCTTTGAGAAGGCAGGGAAAAGTGGAGGGCCGGTGCCGAGCCTGGGGCGGGCCCAGAGCTCGCAGAACCGCAGGTGAAGTCCTAGATGGGCCGACCCTACCCAGGCTGCCCTGCAGGGACCAGGCCTTTTCCGCATTCTTTCACTGGCCAGTGGGGACCATCTGTGGGTCCCTTCTTCCATCCTCGCCCTGCTCCCTGTGGGAAGTCATCCTGCCAACTGATTTTAAAGGGCTCTTTAGCCAGCTGTTGTTGCCAACCTTAGAGGGATGAGTCCCGCATGACATTGATTTTCCACTGCCTGGGGTGACTGGCAGTTTGAAGGGGACCTTTGACCTTGTAGCATCTGGGACCTTGTGGAGACCGTACCAGTGCAATCCCTGCTGAGCTCGTCTTAGAGCAAAGAGCCAGCACCCTGATAGCCCTAGGGTGGCTGGCCAAGGATGGCGTGGGGACGATACCCAGACCCCTTCAGCCGCCAGCCCCTGGCCTGTGCCTTCCGATCCATTAGCCATCTCTTGTGCTCCTTTCCAAGATGCGCAGCCTGCAAGTGGTAGCGAGGAGCGGTGGCCAGACGTTGATCTGGATTTGATGGCAGAAATGATCGCGTGTCGCCGTGGTGTGAGTCTGATTTTTGCTGATGATGTTTTGTGGATTTTTGTGGTGGTGGTGGTGATGGTTATTGATGCTGCCAGTCCCCCCAAAAGTGATGGAGCCTCAGGTCCCGTGGCTGTCCGTGTAGGCCTTTCTCCGCTGTGCTCAGCCAGGTAGCTTGGGGAGGATTGGGCTGTGGAATTGTCGGAAAGCCCCGTGCCGGCTTGTATGGAACTTTGCTCGAGGAGAAGGTAAACGGGGGAGAGCGGGGCGTGTGTGTGAGCGGCTTTCCCGGCCGCTTTCAGCTGCCTGCAGGGGGAGGAAGCCTGAGCCAGGAGGCCAGGTTTAGCCAGTTCCCACTGACGGAAGCCCTGCTCTGCAGGCTAACAGCTAACAGAGCGGAGTTTCGGGCTTCGGGTTTGCCAGACGCTAATTGTGCAGAGTCCCCAGAGCTGGAGGAAACTGTGCTTGGGCTGGACTCTGTAGACCGCTGCTGGAACCCGCGACTCCACTGTCCTGCATTCTCATCAGCGGCCGCTGGGGGCCTCCCTTGTCCCCGTTGTCCCCGTGCTGCAAACTGCATGCCCCAGCGATCTAGGCTGACCTTTGACTCCTTGACTCCAAGATACCCAGACCAAAGAAGCTGCTGTTCTTAGCAAGATGTGCACTGCATTCCACAGACGGGAGGAGTCCAAGAGACAGGGGCTTGCCTTTACAGCCTCACAGACACCCAGCGCCCCAGACTCCCCAGAGCAGCTTACCCTGTGCATGCATCTGAGGATATCAAAGAACAAAGTGCCCGACTCTTTCCTACCTTGGGCAGGACCTGGAACTTGGAAAGGCTTCCTGTCCTTGGCTTGGTCAGCTGTGGGCCAGGTACGGGCCAAGCCGTTGCTGAGATTGGGGGTGCACCACAGCCCCGGGAGTGAGCTTTGCCTCGGTTGACCCACGTCACAGGATGGAAACCATGAGTCTGTGGCTGCTCTAGAAGAAACAGATCTCCTGGAAAGGCCCCCGTGTCTCCCTCCAAGACCGTGTGGCCTGCTCCCTGGACTCTGCTGTTGTGTCACGGTGGGGACCCTGCCCAGCCCTCCTCACTGCCTCGCCGGTCTGCAGGAGGCAGCTTGGTGCCTGCTCTGAGTTTCTTTTTTTGTCCAAACAGTTCCCAGGTTCTTCACTCCACCTTTGCCAGGACTTCAGGTCAGAGAGCTCAGAGAGAACCATTGCTCGGGGTTCCGGGCCTCCCCACAAGGAGCCCCGCAGGATGGTGGAGCCATGGCTGGCGTGAACCAAACAAGGGAACGACCCTGGGGCCTCCCAAGTTCTTCACCTGGGACCTGCCTCAGGCAGCCGTGGTTGGAGGGCCTCCCCGGCACGGCCCTCACCCTTTGCCACGAGTACTCCTTGCTGGCACCACTGGGCTTTTGGACTCCATGTTTCCAGACGTTTACTTCCTGCCTTTGGATTGACTCTACATTTGACCCCTTGGCACATTCCCATGGCCTGTGATCTTTTGTGGGGAGAGAGCTGGGTAGAAAGGAGGCCTCAGCTCTGGGTGGAGGTGTACATAGGGCTCCCTCACCCCCATGCCTGCTTTCAAAGACGCTGATGTCTGGTTTGGAGGCTGGCCCACACCAAGCCACCTCAACACCCAGTTTATGGGAAATTCAGGCCTTGCCTGCAACTCTCATCTAACTGCCATTGACCCCTTCCTCGCTGGCTCACTGAAGCCCAGGTGTGGGGGTCCCTGTGGTCTGAATTCTTTGCCCAAAGATGACCAGCATTTAACCAACTGAAAGGATGGCCCAAAGCCCTGGGTAGCTTCACGAAACTGCCATCTGGCAGAGGGTAAGGACCTGACTGTCAGGCCAGAGGAGGGGAACGAGCACATCCTCGGCCAGTGCCTACCCACCCGGGCGGCAGCCTTCTTGTGACCTGGCCCGCCTGTCCCCGAACCAGAGGAGACGCAGGTCGTCTTTGGTGTCACCCTACTGCAAAGTGAAGGCAGGCCTGCCGACGGGCTGTCTCCTAGGACGTTGTGCAGGACAGTCTCATTCAGTTAAATTCAAAGATACTGACTGCCGGCAAGGTGTGCAAACCTGGGAACAGAGGGGGAAGCTTCCCTTTTGTCTGGGCTTTTCTCGGGGGGGCCGTGGGAGGGGCATCCATTTCCCGGGTCGGGGAGGAGGTACCAAATGCATTGTAGTCCCACTGGTTACATCTCATTTGTTTCTAATAAAGGAAGCAGCTGAACCAAACCTCTCGGCCCTCGCATTCCTCGGGTCAGCAGGTGGCAGAGGCACCGACGGGGGGTCCCTGGCCTGGGCTGGAGCACCCTCTCCGAGGGCAGCAGGGCCCCCGCGAGGAAAGCCGCTCGTGCGTGTTCCGTGGAGGCAGCTTTGGAATACTGTCCTCTGGCAGGGTTCTCTCTTCAGGGCAGAAGTGGCACTTTTCCCCTAACTTCTCCCATCCCGGGGCGAGGGGTCGGGGCTGACCCAGGTTCACTCCGTGTGAGAGGAGCCGCCGGGCCCTGGGCCGACAGCAGGGCATGTTGGCAGTGGTGCTAGTCCCGGGCTTCGGCGGCCGGGAGCGAGCCCCCTCGGTGCGGGGCACCCGCGGCCCCTCTGAGGGAGCGCCCAGGCGCCGCCGCGTCCCGCTCGTCCACATGCCCCGACTCCCCTCCTGGGCCGGCGGCCCGCTGGTCCCGTTGGGCCCGAGGGGGTGCTTTTGAACACTGCCGGTCACCAGGCCCCACTGCACACCTACCGAACCGGGTCTCCAAGGAAGGGCCCCAGTAACTGCATTTAGACTTCGCATCCCCCCCC